TCTTTGAGTTCAGCTCATGAAAAATGGGGGCAAAAACAAAAGTGTTGCATTTATAATTTTGTTCAGTATATATAAACATTAAAACTCACTCTCTTGATCAGGTGGGTCTATGAAATATCCATATCCAACCAGAGTACGAATGGCCTCTCGAAGACTGTCTCTATTTGATTTCTTAGTGCGTTCATCTAATAAAGCATATGGCACCAGACGTGGATTCCGACGGTTTTTCAAATCCTTCGAATAAAATGCAGAAGAGATGATGTTACACAACTTTATGGAAAAATAAAGATGTTCATTTAACACTATCATTGCTTACAGGTTTGTCAATGCACTTCAGGGAAACAGACAAATCCAATGTCATCTCTAATGAATAATGAACAGGACATTATTACCTGCTGAATACCATAGGTCCATCCTTGTTTTATGCGATCTTTGGCCCAAACATTATGAGCATTTTCAGCCAGTTTATCAACTAGAACCTCTTGACCAGGTGTCAGTTTTACATCAGAGAGGTCCAGTGGTGTAGGTTTATAACCATTTGCCATCATGTAGCTTTAATAAGGAGGATATAAATGAGAAAAGGCCAAACATTTCACAGTATTAAAACTTGTCAATCAAACTTCATTTAGTCAGATAGTTAAAATATAAATATTTTAGTTTCAGTGTTCAATATGTGTGCTGGTTTTACTTCTTGGGGAGTTTCATTTTTTTCAGGTCGTCTTCAGCATTCATATTGACTTGTGCGACATGGCATCCCAAAGCAAGTAGGGTCCTGAAAGAGAATACATTTCAGACAACTGAGCAAATGATCAGCAAAACAACATGGGCAATACTTTATGAAAGATGCGAATCGAAGTGTCAAGTAATGCATTACAATATTTATCAAAAGAAATTAATCTGTTCAACACCTCATTATGCTAGTTATTGCATTTTGATCTAAATACTGCTGAGTCTAGAGAGTCTAATGGAATTAACAGAAATTAATTTTGCGTAATACGTTTAATTACCATGAGCATTTTAATAATAATGGCCTTATCTACAGCCTTTTATATGCAAGTCATTGCGGTAATACTCACTTCAAAGTTTCAGTTGACATTTGCAGGTTATAATTCTTTTCTGTTTCTGGCAGTTTAGAGAAGTCAACAAGACAAGGGTGCTGTCTCTTGTTGTCATCTCGGACCTGAAAAATAGCAAATATTTTCAAATGACCTGTAAATCAAAATGCAACAAAATGCTTATGCATTCTACATTTATAAAAGTAAAAACATTCACAGAGAAGTAATATTTAATATTTGCCTATTATTCTGTACTTCTGCTAGGAGACCGATTTCAACTTCTTACACTAGTTGATGTTTAATATACACTACCGTTCAAAAGTTTGAGGACAGTAATACATATTTTTTTTAATTAATACTTTTATTCAGCAATGATGCATTAAATTGATCAAAAGTGATAGTAAAGACATTTCTAATGTTTTCTAAAAGATTTATATTTCAAATAAATGCTGTTCTTTTGAACGTTCTAATCATCAAAGTTTATCACAGTTTCCAAAATAATATTAAGCAGCACAACTGCTTTCAATATTGGTAATAATAAGAAATGTTTCTTGAGCAGCAAATCAGCATATAAGAATGCTTATGTATGAGAATAAGAATGTAATTTTTTCTTTAACTAGTGTTTCTAACTAGTGTTTTCTATGAGTGAAATAAATAATCAGTGCAGAGATGGGGATGAATCAGAAAGAACAGAGATATGATTTAAGTCAGACACTCCAAAACTAATACCGCTCTTTAATTCATGACCTGTAAAGCTCTTTAGATTGATGTGATGCAAGTGAGAATGCTAAAGCGTTTAGGATTGAATAATGGTGGCAGAATAAAAGTGCCATTTTGCTTGCCAAGCTCTTCTTGTCCTGTAACCCCACATGCTCACAACAATGCCACCTCGAGCCAGCTAAGTCTTATTAAAATCTGATTAATCAGAGACCAGCTGGGTCTCTGAAATATTTGTTCTTAATAAATGCTAAGATCCGGCCTCAGAAGCAATGGCAGCACTCTACCATAATTTATTTTTCTGGCAAGGTCTTGGACAGCATGCTGCTCATTAAGATAGTTTTAACTACTGTGATACTGCAAAGCTCTGTCATCAGAGTGCTTTTCCATTGTGCTCTGCAATTTCTGGAGTTACTCTCCTGCAGCAATCAGTGAAAGGCATAAACCGGATCCAAGTAGTTTCCTTTGGCCCTTACTATCTGAAAATGGGATCTGTATCCCCATCTGCTGTGTTGCTACTTGGGATGCTTAAATATTCATTTAAGCTGCAGCCAAAGACTCTCAATTCAGGTTGACATTTTCAATGATCCTCCTCTGAGTTCCTCCAGTAGTTAAAGTCACACAGCAGAAATTATCCTGATATCGGTGCTTGTGTCATACAGAGATGATTTTGCTTCTGCAGAGAAATTATGATCATGCTGTTTAGTATTTTTTTATAGTGTCCACTTAAATGTTTTCCTACCTTGCCATACATCCAGCCAAGCTCTATTTTGTTCATGCCCCAGAGCTCATGGATGTTCTCAGCTAACTTGTCCCGCACATGTTCAAGATGCGGAGGCAGGACAATCTGATTCACATGACAACAAAATAAGAACAATAAATGCAAAGCCTCATATGTCACTAAACATTTGAACAGCACAAATCAAATGTAAAATAATAACTATAAAATTATTATAAAAAATTGTAAACAATATAAGAATTATTTTGTAATATTTCATTGTAAAATAAAAACAAGGTTTTTATATTAAAAACACGTATTTTATATAATAGTAGTAATAATAATAACAAGAATTATTATTATTATTATTATTATTATTATATTCCTAAATAATTTTTTTAAACAACATAAGAATTAATACTTTTCGCTATAAAATAATAATAATTATTGTAGTAGTAGTAGTAGTAGTAGTAGTAATTTTTATAGTAAAGCTTTGATTAATCAGGCGGAACTTGAGAACAGGTAGAAAAGAGTGTAAAAACATGGTGAATTACTCAGTTACTGATAATATCTCACCTGGCTGGTGTCAACAGGAACAGGAATGAAGGAAGCCTGGGACAGGAACTCTGTGGTGCCCAGCAGATCTCTCACTCCCTCCAGGTCTCTTTTATACTCCTTCACAGGCTCCACACGCATCTTTTCTTTGGGAAGCAGGGCTTCATAACATGGTGCATAGCCTGCTGGAGGCAGGAACTTAAAGTCTCCATGGCGACCACCCAACAAGAAACGGACCCTTGAGGAGAAAAAAAACACAAAGAAGGCATTTAAAATCATGATCAATTACTTGATTCATCCTAATAGCAACACTGGGTTGTCCAAAAAATGTCTTGGTGCTACTTAATTTGTTTGAAGTTGGTTGAGAAGTCAAGTGAGTAATGGCCTGTCTCTGTTGATTGAACAAAGTGCTTTAGGGCGGATTCAGCGCAAAAGAAGAAAGGGTTCATTTGTCACACAGCACAACTCCTGTACAATCATTGCAGAAGTGCTACGCTCAGAGTAAAAATGGTAGAATAACATGCTGAACGATTGCTACAGGATTTTGTGCTCATTAATATTAAAATGGATGTAACCATATTCCTTCTTGCTATTTAAACTCTTAATCAGTGTAGGGTACTTTATATTAGAGAAACTCACTTGACCCCTGCAGAGAAACTGATGACGGGAAAGAAGAAGCCATCTATGTTGAAGTCTTCAAACATGCCTTGAACAGGCTGACCGTTAATTCGGAAAGACATGCTAGGGGCTCCGAGATCAAGACAACAGCTCACAACATCATCTGAATTCAGCAAGTGCTGGTTAATAGAGGCCACGGCCCGTGGGATTCGCCCTATCAGATGTGGAGAGAAATTATTCAGATGAAATCATGTTCATATTTGCGTTTTTCATAATGTCGTATTAGATCAGGCAGTGAGGAACATGGGTACATTCTAGTTGATAACAGCCTTAAATGTACCTGACCACAGATGAAGCCCATCAAAACCATAGGAGTAAAGATCGTCACCCACACCATTTCCTCCCCAGCCCTCTCCACCCCCAGGATAGGGGGCGTAGCCTTTGGTGGTGGCCCAGCCAACACGAAGGTGGGTGGGCTCATTGGTCACATAGTGGTCTACTTGATCGATGATCAGCTCAAAGTACCATTTCTTATACTGTGCCGAGCCCTCACTCATGCCCAGGAAGATGTTGGGTCTCATACTGTAAACAAACACAGAGATCAAGTTGGAGTGTATTTTTAGTGAAAAACAAACACTCTGATTAAGAAAATTGTGTGTGTGTGTGTGTATTGGTATATATGGTTTATGAGGACACAAATGTGTATAATGACATGGGTACTACAACGTAAACATGCTTTATGAGGATGCTTCCTCTGTCCCCGTAAAACAAAAGGCTTAAAAAACATACAAAACGGTGTTTTATGAAATTCAAAAATTGCCAGTAGTTTTCTGTAAGGGGTAGGTTTAGGTGTAGTGTTGGTGTAGGGCAATAGAAAATACAGTTTGTACAGTATAAAAACCATTACGCCTATGGAGAGTCCCCATAAACCACAAATGCAAGTGTGTGTGTGTGTGTGTGTGTGTGTTTTGGTTTGTCTACCTTTGGACATCATTGACCAGTCGTGTCTGGAGCAGTAGGTCTCTCCTGGGAAGCAGGTGGTCACAGATGAAATTCTGATTGGCTCTCACAGCCACACCATTGCAGACACACAGGGAACAGAGAACATCTAGAATCTGCAAGGGAGTACAGGAGACACTTTAACAATGCTGTTATTGCTTTAAACTCATTTTATACTGCACATTTTCCCTACACACAAATTATAGTCTTATGCCTGCATATTCTCAAGTGCATACTTGAGAGTGTTTGCTAGCCTAACATGCTGTGCAGCTCCTAGAATGTATTTACGAGTTTACATGACCCACATTTTATAAGACAGAGGAACTCTCAAGTCAAGTAACAAGGGTCTACACCAGCAGACACCTGCCCCTTGTTAAAATGTCTGAATGTTTGCACCACTAAAACTAGGGTGACCATAATATGTCCTCTTTTTCCCAGACATGTCCTGGCCGGGATTTAAAAATTGCCTAAAATGTCCAGGAAAAAGAGGACGAATGGTCACCCTACCTAAAATCCTTTGAGCAAATTTTTGATCATATGAACTTACACTACCTTTGAGGTCAGGAAAATTTAATTTATCAAAAGGTAAAGACATTTAAAATGTTACAAAAAATTCTGTTTCTATAATGATTTCTGAAGGATCTTGTGACAATGAAGATTGGAGTAATGGCTGCTGACAATTCAGCTTTGCCATCACAGAAAGAATTAAAATGTAAAATATATTAAAATAGAAAACAGTTTTACTGTATTTTTGATATAAAATAAATGCAGCCTTGTGAGCATAAGAGACTTTTTCAAAAACATTAAAAGTCTTACCAACCGTCGAGTTTTGAACGGTAGTCTATATCTCCCCATAATACAGAAATATACACTAAATGGAAGGTATATATGAGGGTTTATATATGGAACTGGTAAAAATTGCATTTTCAGCTCTTCATATAATATTTATAGTATTCATTGCAGCAGGTATAAGTTTCCGTTTTAAGGCTTTGGATGGTCAGCAACATCCTTTATATTCCACACTCATCTGTGTTTGTGTTTGTGTGTGTGTGTGTGTGTGTGTGTGTGTGTGTGTTTGTGTGTGTGTGTGTTGTCGAAAAGGCAAATGCTGACCTTGTGGTTGCGTCCATGCTTGTACAGCAGAGAAATAATGGATTTGATGTGGGCCTTCTGGATGATGTTCAGAGATTCTGGACTCTCGATTAGGATACAATGAAGCACCTCTAAAATGCCTGTATAGAATTGCTTTATTAATATTGCATTGCAATAAACACACGGGATGATAAAGGCATTATATAATCAGAGAGCAGAGAGTTGTTTAAGCAAATTACTATAGATTTTTTTATGAAAATTGTATACATGCTGCTATGAATCTGTAATACTGCTGTGATACAGAGCTTCAGCTAAAATCACTGATCTGTGCAGTTGCTGATGGCTGATCGCTCAGTTTATGTCTACGTAAGACAGATGTAACACCTCTATAATCAGTGCTAATGTATGTGTCCGATTTGACATATAGTGGTATTTACCTGATGAGGACTCCAGCCGCTCTAGCTTGCTGACTAGCCAATCCAGCTTGCGAGAGAACTGTGTGCAGTTTCACACTCATCTGTGTGTGTGTGTGTGTGTGTGTGTGTGTGTGTGTGTGTGTGTGTGTGTGTGTGTAGAAACAGCAAATGCTGACCTTGTGGTTGCGTCCATGCTTGTACAGCAGAGAAATAATGGATTTGATGTGGGCCTTCTGGATGATGTTCAGAGATTCTGGACTCTCGATTAGGATACAATGAAGCACCTCTAAAATGCCTGTATAGAATTGCTTTATTAATATTGCATTGCAATAAACACACGGGATGATAAAGGCATTATATAATCAGAGAGCAGAGAGTTGTTTAAGCAAATTACTATAGATTTTTTTATGAAAATTGTATACATGCTGCTATGAATCTGTAATACTGCTGTGATACAGAGCTTCAGCTAAAATCACTGATCTGTGCAGTTGCTGATGGCTGATCGCTCAGTTTATGTCTACGTAAGACAGATGTAACACCTCTATAATCAGTGCTAATGTATGTGTCCGATTTGACATATAGTGGTATTTACCTGATGAGGACTCCAGCCGCTCTAGCTTGCTGACTAGCCAATCCAGCTTGCGAGAGAACTGTGTGCAGTTGGTCCTGTTGCCTCGAATCAGAGTGGCTAATGGACAAAAATCAATGGCAATAAGCTCAATGTTACACCGTTATTCTAACATACCTCATACCAACACCTGCAAATCCCTTTCGCTATCCTTCACACAAGGTTTCCAACCTAAGTGGTAAAATTATTAAATGGATGCACCTCCAGTGTGAGTAAAATACTAAATGGGAGTAATCTTAAACTAGACTATATTTCCCAGAGAGCAATCAATCTAACTCAAGCCCAGAGCTAACGGCACTTTGTGGAGAGATTGTCTAGGCAGTTTTGAAGCCCTGAAAAGAGCTGTTTCCTGAGGCAGAAAATGCATCCATATGGAGATGTTAAAAACTGGCTGTTGTCGCCAGCATAATGTATCATGCTACTGTTGCCAGACAGACTCAGCACGGCACATCTCGAGGGTGACCTCAACGACTCTGAACGAGCAAAATTCAGAACGAGCCTCGATGGGGGCTCTGATAAATGCCGAGCCAGTCAAGGTGAACCGAGGAGAGCGTTCAAGCTCACTGGATCCTTGTGATGTTACAATTTCAAGCAAAATTCAATCGCTAAATAGACAGTGTTCTGTAAAGTCCAAAGACTTTCCATAGCCCCAAAGCCAATGTTTTTTGAATGGGTCTGTGGTTAACACAAGCTCAAGATATTTTCATATTTTATTCTACAATATAAAATTTATCAGAAATACCCCACTCGTGATTTTGAAAGTTTTTACATCTCTTGAAAAAGGCGATTGCTACTAACTGGCTAAATGGGACTACAGATGAACATTAAACATCATCACGTCAAACAGGAAAACTCATCTACACTTTTACAGCCTCGTTGTGTTTATAATCATGCTCTCGCAAACTATTCTAACAAAAAAAAATTCCAGCTTCTAAATTTTAAAATAGTGTTGTCGCAAACTTAGTGGCAGTGATGTTAAAATAATGCACCTGTGGTGTAGTTTGTTTATAGGCTAACTTTAGCATTTTACTTCTTGTATTTAGGCTTTAAAGTTCAAGCGTTCATTTGTGAAGATTATCTTGATGACCACAACGTGTAATGAATATAAACTTTTGTTGCTCACAGAGCTTATTTTCTGCAATAATCCAAACACTATGAAAAAATCCTATTGGCTTTTGATTGAGGGAACCAGGATGATGCCAACTTTTGTGTTGGCCTACAAAAATATGTAGTCTCTGCAGCACTCTATAAATAGAAGTAGTATTAAAATTATTAGTTATTAAAATAATTGAAACAGTAGCAGAAATGAAAAGGTCTTCATGTAAGATTTCTGAAACAATTTTGCTTCGATCTAAACTTTTAATATCTTGAACCAGACATGTCCATAAGTCTTTCATCTGAAGTCCGAGTCAAGTCTGAAGTCTTTAAGCTGGACTCAGAGTCAAGTCTGGAATCTTTAATCATGAGTCTGAGTCGAGTCTGGAGTCATTTCATTAATTGTTGCAAATAAATTCTCATCCTTAAAAATCTGATTTACCAGGTTGCATTTTAAAGACAAATATGTTCCAGGGATACTACTAGGATTCTAGCTCAACTTGTCTTCTTCTACCTGTATACATAGAGTCAATCCAAGATACAAAAATACATAAATACAGGTAAAATTATTAATTTAAGAAGGCCCGTTCGTATTCAGAAATCATCTGTAACACCATGATGTAGCCACTCAATGCTAATTAATCTAATTCTAGATCTAATTAATCACAAATTAATCATACATCAATTTTGCTGAGAATATACCCCCCAAAAGATTAAAACCATTATTGTGAGTAAAGCATTGAACAGACATTACAAAAAGTAGCTTTAGATAGAAATATTTTGACATAGCATAAATAATAATAATAGATGGGCATTAATAGGTTTTAAAAAACTAATACTGAAATATGAAATGTTTTTTTTTAATGAAATGATACTCAAAATATGAAACTAAAACCTCCAGTAGGTGGTGGCAAATCACCGTCTTAATGATTGAGTGCGTCAATCAGTCAATCGACTCATTCAAATCGATGATTAATTCAGAAACGAAGCAAGTAACTGTCTTTTTGAATTGCTCACTGAATCATTGACTCGATTCGTTCAAAAACATAACGTCAATTCATTCAGAAACGAATCACCGCTATGTTTTGCTAAAGACGCACAGCTCTGCTGTGGCTTTGTTTGAACTATTTTCATTTGCGAAATTGAGCAAAACAAACAATAGTGAAGTGAAGTGACGTGTGGCCAAGTATGGTGACCCATACTCGGAATTTGTGCTCTGCATTTAACCCATCTAAGTGCACACACACAGTAGTGAACACACACACACACCATGAACACACACCCGGAGCAGTGGGCAGCAGTGGGCAGCCGTGTGCTGCAGCGCCCCGGGAGCAGTTGGGGGTTCGGTGCCTTGCTCAAGGGTCTCACCTCAGTCGTGGTATTGAGGGTGGAAGAAAGAGCTGGTTATTCACTCCCCCCACCAGCAATTCCTGCCGGACCTGAGACTCAAACCCATGACCTTTGGGTTACAAGTCCGATTCTCTAACCATTAGGCCATGACAATACAATATTGTGTTTAAAATATTAATATTTTATAAAATATTTTAAATATGCTTGTGCTCATGCTCGAGTGATATTGCTAAACTATTATATCATGGGTTTATATCATATATAAACCTTTACGCATTATTTTTTCCATAATCAATTGCACCAATTAAAATGTCAAATAGACAGTAAGTAGACAATTACTTTTATTAGGTGTTGCATCTGAATAAATGTTCAGAGATTATCAAAATGTTTATTTGAAGCTTCAGTTTTTGCATTATGATTAGTCAAACTTGAACACACACACATACGTCATCAAATACTATGATAAGAGTCCGCCAAGTTCTTTCTTTATGATATAAGTAGTTAAGGATAAAAGACTAGAGTTGTGTTTCAAATATTCTTGTCAAGTTCAGTCAAGTCTGAAGTCATTTCAGGTTGAGTGTGTCACTAACATTTCAGTCACTAACTCGAGTGCCCATCTCTGTCTTGAACAAGGTCCTCTTTTTTTCTAACTGTATGTTTGCCCTCCATAAATCAGGCTGAGAGTCAACAACAAGGTGATAAAAGAGAATAGAATTGCTATTTAACTGCCTCTAATAACTGTCATGTCTCTCCATCATCACCCTCGGTGAACAGCTGAAGGCTGTGGACTGATTGAATTCTTACCCAGAAGCTCATAGAGGAGGTTGAGAATGTCCTTCCACGCCTCTCCAGCTTCTTCGCCTGCTAATTCCTCAAACTCAGCGGCACTGTTGTACACGTTTAGGCGATCGATGCAGTGTGAGACCAGGGTTAGCATTCCCTAAAATAATCATAACAAGTGTCAGCCTATTCATTTGCATGTATTATCATAAGTCTAATAAGACACATTTGAGTTGTATTTAACCTCTTCTTTGAAGAGATCTTGGCGCTTGATGAGAGATCGGAGCTGCCTCTGTTTCTCCTCATGTTCGAGCTCAGAGTCAGGCTGCTGGAAGTACACAATGAGGTCATCGAGTGTCTGCAGCACTTCACACACAGGCAGTGTCACCTCTGTTGTCTTCTCCCCATTCAAACCATCCAGACCCCTGAGACAAGGATAATAATTTTAAAATTATCATATTAAACATTATATTAAACATTAGGAATTTAATAATGCTGTCTTCTGGTATTCTTGTTCCAAATGGCTCTCATTTACGATGGGACAAACATTTGTATTGTACTAGGCTGCATTTGAGCTCAGTGAGTTTGGGTCTGCTGTACCTGATGAACTGAGTGAAGAGGTGGGTGGTATTACGAATGATGCGAGCCGCCCGGGACTCCTCGTGCTGGCAAAGCTGCAGAGTCAGCCCGTCATCCATATGGCCTTCAGGAGACAGGACAGCCTGCACACATCGTAAAGGTACGTTAACACTGACTGCAAGTAAAATGGCTGACTTGGAATCTTTCTTGAACCAGTATATAAAAGGTTTAATTGAATTTCAAAGTATTCATTTTTGTAATTTTTTTGCTTAATAATGAACATCTGACCATCTGTACGTAGAAATATTGCAGAATCTGATTTTTATTTTATTTTACCTTGTAATTTTTTTTTTAATGTTTTAATTCAATTTTGCAAACCAGATTTTAAATTTGGTCTCAGAGTTTTGTACACCACAGTATATCAGATTATGTCGGTCACTCTGCTCTGTAGATACTGTATCTGTATTAGCACTGACCATTTTAAATCCCATATCGATCCATCACCAGTGTTGCTATAATGTAACGGTACATTGAGAGAGGACAAACATCATCATCTTTGCATTTGATACACTACTGTTCAAAGGTTTGGGGTTGATAAGATTTTTTTTTTTTTAATTTAAAGAAGTATCTTATGTTTATCAAGGTCGTATTTATTTTAAAACGTAGTTTGTCAAAATAGTAATATTATGAAATATTACCACAAATCAAAATAACTGTTTTATATTTTAATATATTTTAAAATGTATTTCACTCCTGTGATGGCAAAGCTAAATTTTCAGCAGCCTTTATTCCAGTCTTCAGTTTCACATGATCCTTCAGAATTCATTCTAATATGCTAATTTAATGCTCAAGAAATATTTCTTATCATTAACAATGTTGAAAATATTGCTTAATATTTTGTGATTAATGCACATCCTAAATGTGTCCTTGTCAATGCTAGTTGTTGTATTGTATTTATCAGTTCTTTTCTAAAGAAATTGGACAGATTGCCTTTGGGTTTTATCTTCAACTTGGCACCTCCTCCTCACAGGAAAGACAGAGTCTGTCCAGCAGACTTCATAAGCTACAAAAAAATTAAAGAGTGGTTCAATATTTTCAAAGTGAAAATCGAACCGAGTGTCACCAAAGTTATGACTTTGGCTGCCTGGACTGTGCGTAAAGGTGGCATGCTTTTTCTGGCCTTTAGCCCAGAGTTAAGCTGCATACCACAGCGCTGGAAAGATGTGCAGTCCATGTGAACGTGTAATCCTGACCACTCCCCAAAAACACTGTCACCATGTCTACCTCATTATCACATTTAAACCATGGCCTCGTATATCCTACACTCCACACAGAAGCCACTGCGGTTAAGCTTGAGCCAACATTAGACCATCCTGTGAGCCCCATAATCTTTAACGGGATCATAACTTAAAGCACATGATGTCATTAAAGATGTACGTGCCATTCAAAGTTGTTGTAATCATGTAATTGTGGCCTGGAGAGGGAGTTCAGTGATAGTTTCAGCCTCTTAGGACAAAAAAGCACAAGGACACTATCTCTTACCCTTCTCTTTGGTGGTCCCAGGCGAGAAGATTTGGCGTCAGGTGCCAGGTAGGACAACCACAGCCCCGTGGACACATGCATGATGAAGCAGACCGAATCGCCGTATTTGATCTCTGCGACCCCCATACCATCAATATCACGCTTTGGGCCGGAGTCAATCTTTTCCTGTGAAGTGAAGACAAATCGCACGAGTCCTGCCATTTCTGTGCCAACTATTGTCATCTGTTCAGTTTGGACAGTCAATAATTTAGAGAGCCTATTTTAAGTTTTATTGAGATAAAATAGACAGTAGGACAGCTGGGTTTGTGACCTCTTGGCTTGTTGCAGCAGAGGAAGGCTAATGAAACTCCAATATACAGTAACAATGCACTGCGGATTAGTAATTAGGAAACAGATGTAGCAATTAAAGGGTCTAAGCACTGACTAGCAGGCTATAATCTAATCAAGCCAAATTGTCCAATAGCTGATACGGTGTAGCTCTGAAAGTCACTGATTCATCTGATTTATTTAATTTTTTTAATAAATTTAAGAAATGTTACTGGTTCAGTACACGTTAGCCCAGTCATAATGTTGATTAGCACAAAGAAAAGCAAAAATTACAATGAGGCTTAACAACAGAAATGTGAAGCTTATAAATTTATAAAACAAAATTATTTTATAAAATTAAAGTTGTTCTCATACTTTTAGTCATTTTAAGCATCATGTTGTTTGGCAACAAAGTTGCAAAACTGGATGAAATGTTATACATTTTTTTATTTGTGTTAACACATACACTATATTGTGTCTCCACTATTGAAACAGTGCTTTAACATTTACAGATTTAGGACCATTTACTTACATTGTAAGTGCCTCAATGTTGCCCAGAGTTTTTTGGCAATCAACATCATATGGACAACTTTAAAATAAATGGATCAAACCTTGCTTGGCCGGAAACAGAAGGCTGTTGCAGTGGTGTCAGACTTCTCTTTGTCCAGCAGTATCAGGCCATGGTCCTCTGTCTGGCCCAGGTAGTAACCGGTGGAGAGATGGCGGAGGCGGAAGGGCTGACCCCATCTGATGTGACTCCCGCTCCAGCTGCAATTCAGGAAAAAAGACTCCCCTGTGAGTATGCATCTTTTTCATTTTCCACACAATCTATTAAATATGAGTTGTTAACCATTTTAATGCTTAATCAATCGATAGGCCTTTGCAGAAGGTTAGGAAACTTTTAGATTTTTCTAACAGTCATGGATTAGATGCACTGCTCACTGACCTGATTTGAACTACCCTTTTGGGCATAATTGGAAAAGACATAGGAGGAACAACAAGTCTGGATCATCAAAAAAAAGGATAGATAGATAGATAGATAGATAGATAGATAGATAGATAGATAGATAGATAGATAGATAGATTCACCTCTGTTGGTCTTGGCTTTGCTCGGATTCTGGAATGGTGAGACTCTCGTCGTGCCCACGGAACAAGCGTATCACATGCCCACCCAAAAGAAACCCTACAGAGACAAGGGAACAGTGAGACAATTCCTAATAACAATTGTGCTTTTAAAAGTAGTACAGCAAGACAAAAGTTATAGATTTTTGAACTCACCCACTTCCAAGTTGCTTCTGGAGCAGGTAGGCTGAACGTTCCACAGTGTTTGCATGAATGAGGCATCCACTTGAATGCTTCCATTGGAGATGGAGAGGTGCTACAAAAGAGGGAAAGACACAAGTGTTTTACTAAACTAACTATGCATGCGTCTTTTTGCTTGAATAAGCTTGTAGAATCTAAAAAAGAGAAAGGGAGTGAGAGTGAGGGAGACAGAGAGAAAGAGATATAGCAAAAGAGAACAGGAAAAGAGGTATGTGGCATGTGGCCTTGGTGCTGCCAGCCTGTCTGTGCTGTCAGCAGCTGAGTTACAAATCTGTTTTTAAAAGATTACTGTCTAGAAAACACAAACAACGACTGTCTTTCCCAGGACTACAAACACTAACTCTCTGCATGAGCAGCTCTGCAACCCCTCTCTCAAGAGACTTCAGGTAATCCATAGCTGGAACAAATACAATGCAACTGACCTAAACAAAATGGGATTATGTTGGCAGTATCAGAAATATAAGATGAATTTCAGGGGTATGAACTTCTGAGGAATTTAGGAAATAAAGGACTTAATCCTTTATGTATGTGTCAAATTATATTCGCTGGAATGTACACTACCATTCAAAGTTTAGGGTCAGTATGATTTCTTTTTAAAAGAAATTAATAATTTTATTCAGCAGGGATGCATTTAATTGATCAAAAGAGACAGTAAAGACATTCTTATCAATATTTATATTTCAAATAAACTGTTCTTTTGAACTTTCTATTCATCAGCGAATCCTAAAAAATGTATCAGGGTATCCAAAATATTAAGCAGCACAACTATTTTTAACATTGATAATAAAAAGAAATGTTTCTTGAGCAGCAAATCAGAATATTAGAATGATTTCTGAAGGATCATGTGATGTTAATGCAGTAATGGCTGTTGTAATGTCTGATTACTTAATTTTAGGGAATTAATTATTATTAATCAAAGTTTTAGCAAGATATTCACTACAGTTCTCTTACTTGCGACCTGAGAAAATCACAAAGCAGAGGTTTGTCTTACGTTTACTGCTTAACTGGTTCAGCACCTATTTCAGTGGATAGGAGACCTTGTTTGTACTTGCGTTTTTGGGTGACAGCTGAAAAGCTGAGTTTTCCTCGTGGCTGCTGGAGGGAATTCCTTTGCTGATTGGCTGTTGATCTGGCGCCTGAACGACGTTTGGATGACGTCCTTTTGGGAGAGCCCTCGCTGGATTGGTTGGTTGCCGGGTTACGGAGGAGCCTCGAAGTTCGTCTGAGAGAGTCTGCTTTAGCAAGACTTTGCGTGGAAAGGGGAGGTGTCCTGAGGTCATGCCCATGTCACGAGTTGTGTGTCTGCCATTCTTCTCCTGGACAGGGAGCTCTTAATCTGTCACTTTCTGTTCGTGACAGATTTTTCGGATTTAGCAATTTATGCGTTAAATGGTCATGGGGTCAAGGCGAGTCTGTCGCTGGAACATTTCCAGATACCATGTTCTTTGTTCAGTTGTTTATTAGCTGGTTTATTTATGCTGAAGCCGGTCAACGTTACACTGCACATCTGGTCTCTTGCATGAGTTTTACGACCGCAGCTGGCTGCATAGGGTGCTTCTCAGTTTGTCTCAATAGAATGTGATTATTTCATGTGTGATTCCATAGTGTAAGTGGGTCCGTTCGCAGACAGAGATCCTACACTGTAATGGCAGTAATGGCTGATAAAAATTCAGCTTTACCATCACAGGAATAAATGGCATTTTAAAATGTATTAAAATAGAAAAGAGCGATCTGAAATTGTTGTACGGTAGTGTATCTTATAAGACCACAAACAATTTTGTTTGGGTTAAAACCATTTTTAGGGGTTTAGACCCCCCCCCCAAATTACCCATAATTTACACCCTGTCAGTCAGATATAATCCTATACTCCTGAAATGTGGGCCTTAAGTATGGGGTAAAACCTTTTTTTGTCTCTCAGTGCATCTATTCTCCTCCTGTACATCTAGAGTGCTCTGTTGGAAGGCTGAGCACGTCACCATGACAACTTACTTGATTAAACCTGATGGTCTCCCTCTGTATGAAAGAGGTATATTTTTATATCTTTTTCTAGAGACTAGCAATCTATGTACCATATATTTGCATTGCTTGATGTTAAAAGATTATCTGGGAAATTTTAAACACTGAATGAGGGGGGCCTGAGCCCATTAAAGGAATAGATCACCCAACATTTTCCATAAAACTGTAGTCTGTAATTCTTTAATTCTAGATGAGAAAAAAATTTCAGTCTGTTACTTACACAAAGCTATTGCATGAATTTAGAAGATGTAAAGAAGTACATGAGTTGGATGGACTATATATATTGTGTTTTAGTGGAGCTTGAAAGACATGCTCACTATGACTTGATTTTGTATGGAAATTGCTGCATTGCTTTATTAACCTCAAACACACCAGGTACTCACCAGGTACCTCTCAGAGGACACGCTGACCAAGATGAGGTCATCTCCAATGCGCACCTTCTCACCCTCTGACCTCTGCTTGGATGCCGGGTGAATTGTCCACCAACAAGCTTCCCCTTTGATAACACATATCGTCAGAAGAAACTGATCAGATGTAAATAAAGAGATAGATTATCACTGTCCTACAGCTGTCAATGATTCAATCAACCTTTGACCTTGATCAACTGAGATCACCTGTAAGACCTTTCGGGTGTTTACAAACTTAGATGTTGATACTGATATTCATGTTCCTCTATTCTGGGTGACACAATACACAAAAATAGCAAGATATCTATATTTAATTTTGGATCTCTTTTCAAAGCTTGGGAATTAGTCCTAGCACTGCATCTGTTACCTACGGTTCAAATGTCAATCACAGCAGGAAAGAGGCCTAAAAGGGATCATTCATTAAAAACTGAAAACTGTCAATTTTTTATTGATGTAGTCCCATGAAGCCCACCTATACAGAGCACTGCATATGTTAAATGTTTTGTTAATTGAAAAAATAAATAAAATAAAATAAAAATAAAATATGAAAAACTAAAACTACTTGTCATAAATGAGAAATTTTGTCTTGGAAACTAAATAAAATTAAATTAGCTCAAACTTAAGTACTAAAATCCTAAATAAAAATAAAGCTAATAGAAATATTAAAAATGACTAAATTACTAAAAAAATTTAGAAGTAAAATTAAAATTAAAATTCAAGATATAAAATATAAAAATAAAAGCTATTTCAAAATATTAATAAATACTAAAATAGTATATAATTAATACTAAAATAACACTGAAGTTGTTACCAGTTGAATCCTCTTGAAGGCCAACATCAAAAGACAGTTTGTCTGTCAGAGACCTGGAAGTCTTCAGACATGTCAGATACTATGGGAAGACAAGGAAAGAAGTGTAAATTCTGCTAATAAATCATAACAAATAACTGCAACACTGCATCATGGGTAAAGACCCCCAGAAAGCCAAGTTCAGTAAGCTTCGAGCTTTATAGTTAATGTTTATCTATAATATAAACACATAATTATCCCATTAAAACATAAGCCGTCCTGTCATTCGTGATGTTAAAGCATTTTCACTACTCCCCATCTACCCCCAATATACTGTAGGGAGTCATTGATCATGAAGTTGCAGTGTGTGAGCCGTAAGCTGTGACAGGCTGCCTAATCCTTCTCCCCACTGGCTTCAATTTGTGTGGCGCATTCTCACCATTCCACTGAAGGAATGCCTAAGGAGGATGGCGTGACCGTAGAGCAGTGTCCGATGACCACCTCCCTGTGCTGCCTACAGAAGGGACAGTAAAATGTTGTTAGGAACTCAAGGCAAGGGTTCAGAGACGTGGACAGAACAGAATGGTCACTGCTAAAATAAAGAGTCACTGAAACAGAAACATTGACAATGGGAAGAACATGCTAGACGGATGTTAAAAGGGAAATTTCTTGTTCAGTTGTTTGAACGAGAACAAAATTTCGTTGTTGTACCGTAGATGAGGAAATGTAAGGAGTGTGTGGGGAAAAAATAGCCTTAAAAAGGCCCACAAGAAAGAGAGGAACAGAGTAATTATACTTACCCGTCTTATAAGCCTCTGAGTGCATAGGGGGGAAAAAATATGTTTCTCTTAATTCAAAAAGATACGTATAATGTAGAACCTCAGGTAAAACTTTTGAAGTCTGCAGCTGGTGATACGGTTCACACTAATCTTTCCTGATCAAAAATAATAATTACTGCCACATTTGACCACCATATTTTTCATCTGGCTGTTTGAGTTTTGAACACCATTTGAACTCCTCACCAATAGTCCAAAAACAAATGACTTTGACAAAGAGGAACATTGAAACGTGTGTTCCCTACTCCCAGCTGTTGCTGAAAAAGTATGCCTGCTGTCTTGCTGAAACATCAGATGATAAACAACGGTCTTTGGCCTTGATACTGCACAGTTTAGCTGCACATTTAACCAGAAACTGCCACTTCTAGACAGTTTCCAGTTGTCAGCCTACTAAAAACGGCGAGATCTCTGGACTGTTGATAAAAAAGATCAAGAAAGCATCCTGATGTAAAAAAAAAAAAAAAAAAAAGATGTTTTATAGTTAACTGAACATATACTATCATTCAAAAGTTTGGGGTCGGTATAATTGTTGTAATGTTTTTGAAGTAAGTCATTTATGTTCACCAAGGCTGCATTTATTTGATCACAAATACAGCAATGATACAGCAAATACAGAAATTTTTTGGAAATATACATTTTTTTTACAAAATAACTTTTATTTGAATATATTTATAAATTACTTTATTTCTGTGATGCCAAGCTGAATTTTCAGCAGTCATTACTCCAGTCTTCAGTATCACATGATCCTTCAGAAATCGTTCTATTATGCTGATTTGGTGCTTATATTTCTTATTATTATCTGCAAATTATGCTGAAAACAGTTGTCTTGCTTTATATGTTTGTGAAAACCATGATATAACTTTTTTCCAGAATTCTTTGAAGAATAGAATGCTCAAAGGAACAGAATTTATTTGAAATAGAATTTTTTGTAACAATGCAAAAATCGACTTTGATCTGACTTTAAACTTTTGAATGGCAGTGCAGCATATAGTACACTACTAAAGTAGCATGGTATAATATTTCTGAGATGAAAAAGAAGCAAAGCATCCAAGGAAGAAACCAGAAAAGAAAAGAAAAAATCATGGAAAAATCATTCTAATATTCTGACTGAAAAATCATGTAACATATCAAGCAACATTCATTCTGGAATCGGCATTCCAGATCATTTCCTCTTCATTGGTACTCCTGAAATTTGACTGTTAGAGTTCAAATGCAAGAAGAAACACAGTTCACATCTCAAACTACAAATAATCAACACAAAAAAGGCATTAAACACTGAATTCATTAAATAAATGACACATATAGTTTTATAGTGAACTACTGTATGGTATGCAACTCTGCTGCATAATGTTTCTCCAACAAAACTCATTCTAGACATTAATGTTAGTGCAACAGATACACAGCACCAAGCCAATAAAATATATGCTGTGACAATCGTATTTCAAAATGCTGCAATAAAAAAAAATAAACAAAATAAAATATCGAGCATGCCATTTTGTGCAGGAGGGAGGGCAAATAAAGCATTCAAATGGCCCTGTGCAGAACATGCTTAGCCAGTAGATTTTCTTTTGGGATTTGCATAATTCAGGGCCACTAGGTTCTAGGTTTGACAAGTTAATTCATCTACTTTGGGCTACAGGAACATTTTCACACTCTCAATCATAACGTAAAAATAAAGAGAGGGAGACAAGTCTAAGATAAAGGAGAGAGACCTTGATTCTCTGACAGGGTTAGCTTTGTGAACTGTAATAGTTGGGTTATGCCATGAGTTAAAGCACACTTAAAAATGCAGTTCAGTTAAAGACAAGAGAAGTGGTTGGGATGCTCAAAAAGGAGCAGTAGGTGTAATCATGTAAGTTAAAATTTTTTATACATAATTTGGACTGACATTCATGCATACTTGTTGGTCAAAAAGTTGTGAACATACCCACTGCTCATGATCAGGATTCTTGCAATGATGAACAAAGATACAGATATGATTTAAAAAGGCAGGTGGAAAACCCTCACCACTTTAGCACATTCAGTTCATTATGTCTCTTTGCACACCAAATTAATTAATTAAACTCACTCTTGCTACTGTTTTTAGAAATAAAAATCAAATATTTATATTGGTTGGATACTGAATATAATGAACTGAATGATGTCAAATGATGAGGCAACCCATGAGCAAAAACACTTGAAATAACTTCAGAAAAATTTATATTTGTGAAGTGCATTTTATAAAAAAAAAGTATTACAAAATAAAAAATAAATAAAAAATGTACCTTCTAAAGGCAACTGAAAGCATAATAGACATAAGGAGCGGTGTAATTAGTCTATGCAAAGCAGAAGGTGAGGTACCATACTATCGTAGACATTAAAAAGATGATGTGACGAGTGGGGGCGGGGCCGAGAGCCGTGGGAACGGAGCGAGGCTGGTGGAGTAATTGATAATGAGCGACACCTGCACCACTCACCGGTCTCAAGTCCCACGGAGGAGCTCCAGAAGGATAAAAGGAGGAGCTACGACAGTGAAAGACGAGAGAGGACCAGGCCTGGACTTCTGTTTGTGCGCGACAGTCATCCGCGAGGGGCTGTCGCGCTGTTTTGTGTTTATTTTATTATTCAAGTTTTGTTTAAATGTTTGCCAGTTCCCGCCTCCTTCTTCCCGACCTACGAACGGTGTTACATTGGTGCCAAAACCCGGGAGGAAGGAGGGACACGCTGTCAGAGAGCCCTTGCTGAGGGGGATCGCGGTGCTGAGGAGATCGGGCAGCAGGAACAAGCGGAGAGACCGCCGGTGGCTGCCCGAAGCGGTGATGCTGGAACGATGGAAGACAAGGTGGGACGGAGAGCTCGCTGCCGCGCTCCTGGGTCGAGGAGGGGTGGCTGCCATCCAAGAGGGAGCGGAGGAGTCGGCCCCGTTCGGCAGGAGGCCGGAGCCTGCTGCCGTCTGCCATGATTGGGGAGGAGCAGGGAACGGGGGACTCGCTGCCGGCTGCCCTCAACAGGAGGAGCCATCACCGTCCGCCAGGAGGCGGAGGAGCGGTGGGCCGTCCACCAAAGATGTCCAGTGCCATCGTATGGCACCGCAAGTGAGAGCCTCTCAGCCGGTTGAGGACCAAGCGACAGTGTGTCCGGGAACTGGACCGATAATTTTTTTCTTTTCCTCTCTCCCCTCTCTCGTATCTGTCTCTCCTCATCCTTCC